TATATATATATATATATATATATATATATATATATATATATATATATGTAAAATAAAAAACAATATGGGATTTATGTTGAAAATTCAGAAAACTAACTTCCTGTGGTTAGACACCTCAGACGTCCCTGCTGGTGCTCACCTCTCTTTAACATCATCATGACATCATTGTGACATCCTCCTCCAGTTTCCTGTTTTCATGTAAATGTTTTATTCTTGCTTATTTCGTTCTTTCATTTTCAACCTTTTCATATATACATACGTATCTTCTATATATGCTGTATATATCAATAAAGGCTGTATATATATATATATATATATATATATATATATATATATATATATATATGCTTTATATTTATGGTTACAATAATATGAGGGCAAAGAAAGTTGATGGAATGTTTCTATTTTTAAGGGCGAGCCATTCACATGGATTTGTCAAGATTCTCTTTATGGTAAAGACAAATGCAGTGCCTTAATTGTGAGTTTTAAATGATGAATTATCAATAAAGAGACATTATCCATGTGAAACCAAAGCCTGTGTGGGCACCACGGTGCTTGGCTGACGAATTGTGAAATGACACACGAAAGATACCGAGTGATAATCTGTAGTATGGAACATGGATTTAGCAGCTGCTGTAGAGCTTTCGACCGTATCCCACAATATTCCGCAGCAGACGGAGGATGCCCAGTTGTTGTGGAACTGTAGATGTTGAAATTTCCATTTGGACCATTTGGTCCACGTTGGCTTAAAGGTGGGGATTAAAAACGATCATTTGATACGATCCAAAGCTCCAAAACAGCTTTTAAACGGACCTCGTGGTCAGATCGTGTGATTGCTGCCACCGCCGTTTCCAAGCTCCACAAAGAACTTAGGACATGGACGAGACATCCCTGTAGTTCTCGGAGGAGTCGCAATTTGAATCTACGATTTCCATGACGACATGAGCAACTCCATCTGCTGAGGAAGATGGTGTGGTGGAAATCTAAAGTTTGTCAACAATCTAACCTTGTAACTCCACAAAACTTGACCCATCTCTCAGACTTGATATGAAAGTTGAAATGTTAAAAGCAATCTTAAACTTAAACATTAAAAAACGTTCTCTGCATTTAACCCATCCCTCTATAGGGAGCAGTGGGCTGGTATTGAGAAGCACCCGGGAAGCAGTTAGGGGTTCAGTGTCTTGCTCAGGGACACTTCGCCACAGGACACGTGCAGCCAAGGATCAAACTGGCAACCTTACGGTTACCGGACGACCCTCTCTACCCCCAAAATGCAACAATAGATTTCAGACACGCACAGTTCACAAACAACCCAACGTAAATCTTAGCTTTTAGGATAACTTAACACAAATATATATTTAAAAATATATATATTCTGTAGCCGGCTAAAGGCTGCATGTTAGATGATAACAGTCAAACACTTTGGTCCTGACTGCAATATCTCAACAACTATTGGATGGATTGCCGTTTGGTACAGACATTCATGGTCCCCAGAGGATGAAACGTATTGACTGACGATCCCTCGCGTGTGCTGAAACCACTCAGCTATACCATGGTGCTCTGAGTTTTCCTTTTTTTGCAAAACCAGCAGCTCAAAGTGTTAATTATTCAATAAAATAGCTCGACATCCATACCAGCGGGATTGTGTTGTACAGACGAGGTTCATGGTTTCCAGATAATGAATCTGAATGACTTTAGTCATTCAGATTCATCTGCACCACAATAAGGTTTTTGGGGTTAAGTGAAATATTTTGACAAAGTATTACAAATGTAATTGAAATTTACCGCAGGTATCCAAGGTTCCCAGAGGATAAATTCAACTTAACTTTTCATCTTGTCCCATCATCAGGTCAAAAAAACCTCCATAACTATAATGGCATTCCTATCAACCTCAGCAAATATTAGCAGATGCTAACAGGGTAGCTAACATTAAGCTCAAAGCACTGCTGTGCCAAAGTGTAGCCTTTTGGTAATGATTATTATTGTTGTAACTAGTATTGTTACACCCATTATTATAATTTCGCCCAAGCAGTAGTATTTTTAGATGCTGTTTTATTTTTTAAAAACATATTTTATATAATTGTAATATTTCTAGTTTTACTCTTAGGTGTAATGTAATATTTAATTGATGACAGGATATAATGTATAGTGACTTGTTTGTTGTTGACTATGAAACGCGTTTCGAGGCCACGAGATCCAGCTGAACACATCAATGACATAACTTCAGCAAAGTGCATCTGAACGCCGGTGAAAAGCATCTCCGACCGGCCTGAGTGAAGATGGAAAAAGTGACACTGATTAAATCTAATACCCGAGCGGTGACATCACATCCCACACACCCCCCCACCCCCCCGCCCCTCAGAAAAAAAGAGGAGGCTGCGTCCGGATTGGACGGCGGGCCCGGGCCAATCAGAGAGCGCACACATGGGAAGCGTTTAAAAAAGATTCAGAAAAGTGTCGGGAAGTTGTCTCTTAAAAGCCTCACGAGCAGGTCTCATTGCACTTGCGGCGAACACTTATTATTATTTTTTTTTACATTTTTGAAATAAATAAAGATACCCACGGACTTGTTAGGGACTTTTTCTGTGCGCCCCCCCCCCCACACCACCACCTCGGACAGAGAGTTGTAAACCTGCTTCTCCGTTTTTAAAGCGCCTCCTCGGCTCCACTGTAAATACACGAGACTAACAGGATGACAACGCACTTCAGGAGCGGACCTGCCTTCGGTCTGTCTGCCGAGGTCAAGAGTAAGGTAGGTTCACTTTCATTTCACACTTTCTAAGAAGTGTAATATTATTTATGTACCGAAAAAAACGCGTTCCAGCTGGAGCGTCCAGTCCCCCAAGTAACGTTGAGGTCAAGGGTCAACGAGGCATGATGACGCACACCGTAAACACTCTCTGTGGCCTTATTTTAACATTTTTTTTTGTCTTATTCAAAAATTATAACGAAATTCAAGATGAAGGTGGCGGGCTAGGACACACTGAAGTCCTTATATGGAGGTAGTGCGAGAAGTTTCTGGATGAAAGCTTCGGTGTGTGCTAGTTGAAGTCATGTTGGCTCGTGCCTCTTTAGTTTAACAGGTTAGAAAAGGACGTAAAAAAAAAAAGCATGCTGAGTGGTTGTAACTGTTAGCCCTTAAATCAGATATTAAAAAGAGCCCGTGATGTATTTCTCCCCTCGTTCCAGTGTGCTTGGCTAACAAACACTTTGACAGCAGATCACACAGTGAGGGAAGTGATTGTTTTGGAGCTGAAAGTGAGTCTCTGTGGCCAAATCATTAGTGTGATTATGGCAGACTTGTGCTCTGTGTCTCCTCTGCCACTGATCTCCTTGGCTGTAAGACATCACACTGGGGGAAATGTGAACGTTTAATAAGCTTGTTGGTTTTGAGAGATGAAGGTATCTCTAATGTTTGTTAATGATTTAAAGGGACATAATGTTGGCTTATATGAATGAATGAATGAATGAATGAATGAATGTGTGTGAGTGAGTGAGTGACATGGGGTGGAAGAAGAACTCTGATGTTCCTTTTACTCAAGAAACTGTAGTTGTACTACAATGTCAAAATACTCTATTACAGGTAAAAGGCCTGTGTTCAAAATGTTACTTCCAGAAAAAGTGGAGGAATATTGCTCAGGTCCGTGTTAAATTGTAAATGTTAGATTATTATCTTTTGATGAATGAAGATGCAAGCAGCGTTTTGATGTTGGCCAGGAGTCCAGTTGGAGCTGATTTAAACTGTATATGCTATGAAAAATGCGTTGAATAACATGTTCATACGTCAAGTATTAATCTGTAAAGTACTATAGTGAAGTACAGTGTGTCCCTCTGAATTGCAGTGACGTAGCATCAATAGAAATACCTCAGATTTGGACCTAAATACTTTATAGTTGCATCCCATCCCTGCATGGTGTCGTGCCAGCCGTATTTCCCAGCATTCATGCTGTCACCGTTCTGAAAGGAAGTGTCAACACAGCCATTGTGAATATAATGCAGTTATTTCTCTGTGTCGTGACAGCAGTGACTCTGTACAGTGGGGTGAGTCAGAGCTGCCGACAGCCTGCTCAGGATGAGAAAGGTCAGCGTTCCAACTCCCAGATCACCACCACCACCACCATCATCATTGTTATTGTCCTGGAGGGATGTGGTCTTGTCCCTGAATAGTGCCGTCTCTCATCGGGTCTTTCAGTCCCCACACACACACACACACACACACACACACACACACACACACACACACACACGGAGGTGCACTGCACTCTGTGAAGCCCACATTCCTTTCATTACTGCTATTCAGCACTCAGCGGGCTCTCCGTCCCAATTGGTGTTTTTTTTGCCGCCGGTGCGTTGCTGTTTTGCTGCCTTTTTTTCCCCACAAGTCGATTATACACACAAGGGCAAGAGGAAGAAGTATCCTGTAAGAGTAGGCGAGGGAATTAAACGTTTCGTTTGAGCCTTCGTGGGTTCATGCAGGGATGGTCATTTCCATCAGTGTGACTTCAGAGATCGACGCAGCAGAAAAGACTTGACGGGTACGTCGGGCGTGATCTAATGGCCTTTTAAGGACCGACCAGGCTCTGCACTTGGAGATTGAGAAAGTGTCCCTTCTCTAAACAGTTTACATTGCGGTCCGGATTGACAAAACACTGCCCTGACAGAATGCAGGTGCACAGGGGATGGATGGCACAGACGAAGCCGTGTCAGCGGCTTCGCACAGTGGATCCACTACATGGCGAAGACCCGATGTCAGACTGTGTCTTTGTTTGAGTATGAAGGGATTTCTGTTTATCGCTTTTAAACAGCCGGACAGGTAGATGTATTTACCCTCTACTCTGCGGTGGACCCCACATGGTCATATGCAATAGTTCAAATGGCCCCCTGAGATTCAGCATAGGCTGTGTGGACCCATACCTAAAGTAAGGCTTTGTAACTTCTAAAAGTTAAAAATGAATTCATAATCCACCATTACTCAGTGCACTCAGGTGTTTTGCTGCTACAGCCATAGTCTGGTGTGACCAGTGAAACCAATGAAGTGCCGTTACCTGCATTATCTCTACTGACCAGCAGGGGGCGACTCCTCTGGTTGCAAAAAGAAGCCTGATTGTATAGAAGTCTATGAGAAAATGACTCTACTTCTCATTGATTTATTACCGCAGTAAACATGAGTTCATGGTCTCAATCTCTAGTTCCAAGTCTTCTTCAATACAGCATGCTATTGCCTATGCTTTAGGGTGGGGCTACCTTGTGATTGATAGGTCTACCAGAGCCGTAAACGGTGTCTCTCCGTCACTCCTCCTCAGTCCAAATATGGTCACTTCTGTTCACTAGTTGCAAAAAAAAGCCAAGATGGCGACGACCAAATTGCTGAGCTTGAGGCTTCGAAACGTCAGTCCACAAACCAACGAGTGACGTCCTCTTCTTTTAGACAGTCTGTGGGTGTGACCAGCGGTTTATGGTGGCTAATGCTACTCTCTGCTATCTTTAGATATGCCTGTGTAACTGACATCGCATGACATCACTGAGGGGAATCACTGACTTTATGAGTATTCTCTACTTCCTCTACTGTTACACAGACAAATCTGTGCAAAGAATCTTGTTAGTAAGTAAACTCTCGGTCAGAGACGAGCAGCTTCTTGTGCTACTGTCACACTTTGTTTAAGCAAACGTGTCATAGTCTTGTTTTAGGTCGGAGTATCGTTAAAAATGTTTGTCTTAGTGTTGAGTTTCGCTCACAAAAACGACCCCTTTTCTTCAACACCTCACTTAAAGAATTATAGATAGTGGAATGGTTTATTTTAATTTCACAAAGAAGCCGAACCTCTCAAATGTAAATTGTCATCTACACACAAACAGCTGCACAATAACTTCCAATAATTAGAATACAGTCAAAAATCGGCAAAATTTTGACTTGAAGAAGGAAATGATTGCTTGAAAGAGCGACTAAACAAGATCATGACTTCAGTGCAGACTTGGACCACTTGAACAAATACACAAGTACTGTACTGAAGCACAATTTTGAGGTACTCAAACACTTTATTGAGGATTTTCGTTTTGATACTGAATGAATATGGCTTTTTTAATCTCAGAATCCCAGAACACCAACACCGCGGTTAAATGCAGCTGAGGACCTGTGGATCCCTTCCTGTCTCTCCATCAGACGTGGGTTTGTCTGAGCACTCTACTCGCTGTAAAAGGGCAGATTGTGGAAAACCCAGAGGGAGAGGGAGAGGGAGAGGGAGAAATATGAGCCGGGCCGATCGGGGAAGACAAGTCGGTCAGAGGGAGAGGGAGGAGTGTTTTTCAGGGGGGAACTGTTTCTCCCAAGTTTGGTGTGATGGACTGGAAGCTCCGCGATCCCTGCTGCTTTAGAAATACTTGTTTGTGTTGGCTGCCGATCCCAAACTTGTGTGTGTGTGTGTGTGTGTGTGTGTGTGCGCGCAGTGGTGGGGGGGGGGGGCAGGCTCAAGCAGCCTTGAAACCCCATGCCAGAATTCAAAGTATTAGGGGGCAACGTGTTTGTGCCAATAAGGAAATGCATGGAGAGAAGAGAGAGCGGCTGGCGTGTTTCTCCATGCAGGAATGTCCACGGGGCTTTTTAATTTTCATCCCCCCCCCCCCCCGTTCCTTTTGTACGCCTCATCTCAAAGTATTTCTTTATTCTACAGTAAGCCTTTCAAAGATGGCACAGATTAGGATTGTGCCGTCTCTTATGAGAAAAATTATGGAAATTATACACAGTTTTGTAAAAGAAAGTGTTACCGTTCAATTAAAAATGCCACATTTCACACATATGGAATGGAAAGGATCTTCCACAGGACAATATTTGACACTGTTCGATGCCCACATTGACACTTTTTGTTCTTCGACGAGTTAAAAGTGGTGAACTGTGCATCGTTCTTTTATTGTTCTTTTAATTCGTCGATTTTCCGATCAGCTGAAGTCAGCTGTCTCTTTGAAACAAAACTGAACATAAAACACAAAAGTTCAACCTCACGTTTGACCTCTGACCTCCCCCTCCCCCTCAGCTTGCAGGGAAGTACGACCACCAGAAGGAAGAGGAGCTGAGGCTGTGGATTCAGGATGTGACGGGCAAGAGGATAGGGGACGGCTTCATGGAGAGTCTGAAGGACGGGGTCCTGCTGTGCGAGTGAGTGAATGGAGACAATGAGAAGGATGCTTGTAGCACGGGAACATTAAATCAACCTTTCTAATAATACTGATACCTTTATTATTAGAGATTACTTCTTAAAAATGTAACTTCCTTGAACTTTGTGTCTCTTTCTTTGTAGACTCATTAATGTGCTCCATCCGGGTTCTGTGAGAAAGGTCAGCAGCTCCACTCAAAACTGGCACCAGGTAATGCATCCGCTCTGTGGAAGGGAACAAAAATAAGCTGTTTTTGTTCTGTGAGTCACGGTCCTCCTCCACAACATGTGGAACTTAGTTAAAGTAGCCACCGTATCAAATGATGCAAATCTCAACTAAAAACAAGCTTGTAAGGCTCGATTGAAGCAAAAATCCCCCCTCTGTGATATTAACACCCGATAAAGAACAAGAAAGCAAATAGAAATATTTCCCAAACTATTCAGTCGACCAATTTGAGTCCCGATACAGATATCCATACCTCGGCCGATGCCAATGTTTAATTAACAAGCTGCATGCCTCATTCTGTGGAAGTGACTGGGATCATTCTTTTCTGTGGAAGGCAACACCAGGCTTGACGTAAACATTGCTTTCCTTACTTTGGAAAACAAAATGTAACTAATAAATCCATAGATAAAGATGTACCGAATGGTGTCCCGTACCAGATCCAGCTATTTGAGTCGGTATCGGACAGACATTCTGTATCGGTATCAGTGCATCTCTGCTCAGGACTTTACGTCAGATGTCAAAATAGACGCTCTTCTCAACTAGCTCCGTTGTCTGTTTTTTTTTTTTTTTTTTTTTTTCTTCCTCCAGCTGGAAAACATAGGGAATTTTGTCCGCGCGATCACAGTGTACGGCCTGAGGCCAGATGACATCTTCGAGGCCAACGATCTGTTTGAAAATGTCAACCACACTCAGGTCCAGAGCACGCTCATCGCTCTGGCTGGAATGGTGAGGACACACACTCTCTCACACACACACACACACACACACACACACACACACACACACACTCATCTGTTGTAGAGGAGACTGATGTTGGTGCTTTACTCACAATCTGAATGTTACTGAGTGAGAGAATCGGGTGCAATCAACAAACACTAGAGTAACTGTTTTCTAATTTATAGCCTAAAGAAACCATGAGTATTAACAATGATGCACAGAAGTATATCCTGATAATCGCATACATGTTGCAGCAATCAGCCTACCTGTGTGAGTGCTTTGTGCTGCGTAGACTAGGACTACAGTATGGCAACGGCAGAATAATAATAAAAACAATATGGGTACGAAGAATGCACTCTGATTACCACCGTTTTCCCTTCTGTCTCTGCCACCTTTCTCTCTCTTTCTCTTTTTCTCTCAGGCCAAGTCCAAAGGTTTCCACTCCAAGTACGACTTGGGAGTGAAGTACGCTGAGAAGCAGCAGCGGCGCTTCGCTCCGGAGAAGCTCAAGGAGGGACGCAACATCATCGGCCTGCAGGTCAGAGCAGCGGAAATAATAAATAAACCTGGAATCCACTGCTTTCTATGACCACGCTTTCTCACGGGGTTGTAGGCGCATGTGTGTCCAGAGATGCTCTGCCGGCCAAGTGGGTTCGTATTGTACCCGCTGCTGGACTTCATGCTGAATATATCTTCACAGAAACCTCTTAATTGAGTCTTCTCTTACCCGCCCTGCATGTGGAATAATAACACACTCATGGGAATTTTTGCCATCATAGGTACCAATACTGCCCAAAGCGTCCTCTGTGTCTTAAGACCATGACCCACTCCCCTCACTCCCGGACATTCGTAAGGGTTTAGTTCTGTCCCACTTTCAAAAGGTCGAGTGTTTGAGGGCTCTTTCGCAGACATTTTGATTAAATTATGAACCCTTTCCGTAAGATTCGCATTTCTGCAGACTTTGCCTGACGGAATTACCCACAATTCATAGCAATGTGACTTTAAACACGGGGTTACCAGTGGAAGCATGGAGATGTAAGAGAAAAAAAAAAGGTAAACAAAGAGGACGGCACATGGGAGTTCAGCCTGTTATATTGGGACGTTGGGTTGGGGCCTAAACGTTGTGTGTTTGCAGCTCTGTAACTCGCTGCGTTTCGCTCCGTCTCCAGATGGGCACCAACCAGTTTGCCAGCCAAAAGGGCATGACCTCCTACGGCACACGGCGACACCTGTATGACTCCAAGATGGCCATGGAGACCCCTTTGGACCAATCTACCATCAGCCTACAGATGGGCACCAACAAGGGAGCCAGCCAGGTGAGTTGATTTTAAAGGGCGAGGCTTCTGTTATTCTAAACTTTGTTGTCGTCAACACATCTCATAAAAAACACACCTGGACGCACGCTGGGGTGCGATTGGGAGTGCACGCAAAGTATAATTAGCAGAGATGAGTCTAAACAGTTGGTTGACGTAGTTAGCAAACATTAGTTAACAAACTGTTGGAATAGTTCGCTAAAAGCTTCACAAACAGCTAAAAGTATTGAATAAATTGCTAAAATGGATATAAAATAATTGATAAACAGTTGAAATGTGTAGGAAAAGAAACGGATTAAAGGAAAACTTCTACCACTCAAAGTGGTAGTAGTATGAAAAAGATTATATTATAACCACGTTTATGTAATTGATAGGCAGGTCGATGTAGCAGGGATTTGTGGGATTGACAATAAAAACAGACCACAGTGCCATCATAATGAAGGAGCATGGATCAAGGAATGGACACCAACGGCACAGAGAAGGAAGATACTCCGATAATACTTGTTCGTAGGATCAATTATTAGTGTTGTTGGTTTTGGTCTTTTCGTGGGATTAGTTAACAGTCAGAAACATACACGTCACCAGCTTTATTCTTTGATTTAATTAAGTATACACTATTGTTCAAATGTTTGCTGCTACAAAAGCTCTATTCGTTCCAGGTTTTAGGTTAGTTAAGGTAGAAAGTCCTGTTAATAATTCTGATTTCGTTTGAAGGGGTTTGTTTCGGACACTGAGAACAAAACGCTGATAATTCAAAGGGCACCAAAAAAGGCAAAGATCCCTCTGAGCAACCGTTGAATGAGAATAGAAGAAGTCAGCAGTCATTGGTGAAAGAAACTGGAAGCTCGGCATCAAAATGTGCGCGGCTTTAAATACGAACCGTTCCTGTTTTAGTGTCGAATGCACAATCATTTATCTTATAACAAGCCTGAATATTAGCAGGTGTGTTGCTTTAGCAAAGCTCTTTTTCAAACTTCACAATAGAAATAGAAGGTCAGCTGAACAAATCCCAGTTTAAACCTCTTCCAGTAGACTGCAGAGGGCTTCCCAAAAATCTTTAGTCCAGTCGCAATATTGTGGTTTGAATTGCTTTTCTGGAGTCGTGCAACACTGTAGGGACATCGACTCAGTGGAAGTTTTAATCGTTTGATTCTCCTTCTTATGAGGCCAAAACTATTTCAAATGTAGATAATACATATGTTGTCTGAATTATACTTTTTAAATTGTCTTTACATCTGTTAAAAATATTAAAGGAGAGAAGAAAAACACCAAAATAACAGGATTATGAACGGTAATGTATATGTTTATGCCCCCCCCCCCCCCCCCCCGCAGGCCGGCATGACCGCCCCGGGGAGCAGGAGACTTATCTTCAACAAGAAGCTGGACCTGGAGAACTGTGACACCACCACCATCTCCCTGCAGATGGGCACCAACAAAGTGGCCTCGCAGCAGGGCATGACATCCTACGGCCAGCCCCGCCAGGTCTACGACAACAAGTACTGCACCAACCCCACCGAGGCCAACTGCGACAACGGGAGCGAGGCGGAGTTCGACGGCTACCAGTACTCTGACTAAGAGAACCACAGCCCCCCACCCCCTCCCTCCTCTTTGCTTAACTTCAGACAACCAACCACTGCTGTCTTCGTGACGATCAAACCTACCAGACTGTTATTTTTAACGCCGACCGACGTCGTCTTCGTTCCACGTCGTCTTTCTAAACGTACTTTTACTCTTAGGAATTTATTGTTCGTCTTTCCGTGAGTAAAAGGAAAGAATAGTGTTTGCACTGACCTTACGTCAAAGATTTCATGCAGCGGCCAACCTCTGTATCACGTTGCTCTGATGGATTTTGTTACCGCTAGACATACCCAAGCAACGCTCTGATTTAATGACCTTTGCTATTTATAGATTTGTTTTTTGCTACAGTCTTTTATACTTTCATTGTAATTAGAGATTTTGAATTTTAACTGTCGACACCCCCTCACCTCCCTACCCTTCCAATCCAGTTTGAGCACTGACGAAGCAGAATTTAAAGGAAACAAGTGACGTTGGCGCTATTGAACTTTTTTGACCCATCCGGACCCGGGAGTCCACCTCGGGACGACACGGAAAGCTCCGGCGGTTTCCCACAGACTGAGCCGAGGGCCGGCGATGCGGGAGGACTGGTAGCTTTGTGCGGACATTGCTTTGTTTTGCGAGCACCCGCGCTGTCATGTTCACCAGCCTGCACAAATGACCCACCGTTGTTTTTTACGGGGCTAATTTATATTGCTTTGTTGCGCATGTGCATCTTTTTAAAGGAGGTATTGAGGGGAAAAGAATAGATGCTTTTTGATAAAGGTGTTGAACTATATATATATATATATATATAGTTTGAAGTTAGGGTAAACTTAGTCACCAGTAGTCTTTGTCTTGTTGTTTCTTTGGCTTTTGTGCCGCTCAACCTTGTGCCTAGTTAGTAAGCAGTGGTGGAGTTTAATGAAGTACTTCTGCTAAGTACAAACTTGAGGTACTTTGCTTGAGTATTTCTATTTGAAATGGACTCAGATGATTATTTTGTACTTTTTAATCCACTGCACTTATTTGTCAGTTATAGTAACTTTACAAGATACAATTTTACAAATGAGGTTATAATAATAATAATATAATAAGTAGAATAACAACCACAGGGGCCATTTTTAATGTACTTTTACCTTCGTAACATCTCTAGGGCTGTAACAAACAGTCCAAGCTTCATTCCTAGAGTTGACATTCGAATTCTAAATTAACATTTTTTTTTTTTTTTTCTAAGTCTATTCATTTTTGTTTTAAATCGGGTATTTCTGTACAGGCTCCACTAATATTATTAGAATTATACTATTTGTTGTGGTAGGATTGTTTCCGACTCCTGTGGTCCAATTATTTCCAGTCACTCCAGAGTCGAGTCCAAAAGTCAAAATGTATTGAAAAATAAGATGGATGTAACTATTTACAAAATTCACATATTTATCCATCTTAAATATTCCACTTTAATTCATATTTGTTGCCGTTTAGCTTTCAACAACGTTGTCGTTTTGCTCACCCGCTCGCTGCACTTTTAAATTTAGGGTGATGACGTCATGAAATATGGCAGACATTCGAAAGCCTCCAATAGAAGCTTCAAATGTAAAAAAACAACAAACATTCGGTGCAGCACATAACATTTCAAATGCTGGACTGGTAACGGGGGTATTTTAACACTTATGGTATACTAGAGTAAAGTATCCGAGTACTTCATCCTCCATTGATGTCAATATCAAAGTAGACCCTGGTGCCTGTACTACCTGATGATTGCTCAGTGAATCATGCCAAATATCCAGATGAGATTCTTGTTTTTTAAATGTTCTGCGTCATACTGTTGAAACCCACCGAATGCTTTGAATGTAATGTTAGCGGAGGGTTACGGGATTCATTTAACACATTAGAAAGCAGTAATGTGCATTCATAAAAGCTTCAGAGGAGTCTCGGGCACCTAGTCGAGTGCTTCACATCGAAACCTCCGCATTTCTTTGTGAAATCTTCGGATGTATCGGCTCCCAATTACTGTCAGAATTAGGTGTTAAAGAAGCTTCATGTGTGTGTTCATGTGCTGAATGGGCCAATAGATCGGAGCTCTTTAATTGTTCAGCAACAAAGGAGTCGCAGCCACGATCGAGGACATGTAGCAGTGTGCCATCTAGTGGAGGGAAAGCACTTGTACAATCCATCAAACGTCTGAACATTCCCTTTTTTTATTCAATCAAATGTAGTTTTTAGTTCCCTGTGATGTCAGCAATGTTGAGTGAATGTATCGTAACATTTCACTTTAATGTGTTGGCTTTTTTTCAACATTGTTCAAACTTTACATCTTTGCTAACCTCTTGACCTTTTTGTTTTGTTTTTATTTCTATACGCGTTCACTAAACATGACTGTGCAATAAAAAAACACTTGAAAAAAATATGGTTCTGATTTATTTTTCTCATTGCCTAAAAATACACGGTAGATGTGAAATACGTATTAGTAGTGAAAGTACATGATTGTGATTTAAAAAAAAAAAAGGACAATAATCAAATCTAGCAGTACAAATACATATACATATATATGTATACTGGTCCAACAAACAAAGGTTTCGACAGTTGAAACTTAAAAATTAATCCAACAAAATGGTTCAGTGCATTAGAGACGGGGGTGAAAACTAGAAAAACTACTTCCACAAAAGTAACACGCACTTTATCATCTACTGATTACGACCTAAAGACGAGACATTTGTCATATTTTTCATCAATAAACACAAAGAATAACGATTGAGGACATGGAATGTCTAACACTGATGGAAATTTCAGTCAGTTACATTTTTCAATTGAAATTCTAAGACAATTTCATCGGAATAAAAGACAAAACAATCATCTAATCATTTAAAAAAATTTTAAAAAACACATCAAAGAAACTGAATAAAAAGAAAACGTTTACACTGAGAACTGTGAGGGAGACAAAACATGGCAACTCTCTGGCCCAGCCAGAGGAAGGTGGCGTGCTCGGCAAGCCACACTGTAGCAAAATCAAACTGACCAGCGTCTCATGCAAAATCACAACGCTGCTGTAGTTTTGTGAAGATTTTGCTACACTGTGCTAGTGGAACAGGGCTGAATTCAATGGACCAATCACAGGGGAGGAGTGTAAGTGAGTGAGGTTGGAGGGAAGAGGAGAGTCACAGGAAAACATGACTATTGATTGGCTGATTCACAGGCATCGATCCAATCGCTGTAAACATCCACCGGCTCAGACAGATCTGATGGGAACAGGGTTAAGGGGCATTCCAAAAAAACCAGAACCACTCGCTCCACAGCTTTTAAAACCTGACTTTATACATGATTTAATTCCACAAAACAATTGATCAAAAAAGGATACAGGTAATCGGAGTCTGGAACTCCTCCAAGCAAACACTGCACGATATAATTCCTGTGTTGCGGGTTCGTTCCCTGTAAAACAGTTATGAGTATGGTGCACACGTCTCTATTTCTGCCTGCGCTTTTATGTTTACTCACATTTTGACGTCGCAGGATTTCTCGTGATTACAAAACGGGCACGTGAACTGGACGTCCAGGTTGCCAGTCATCTTTTTCTTTGGAGGTGGCTTTCTCTTTGACTTCCTACGCCCCATTTGTAATGTTGTGTGGCTGCAAAAACAACAAAACAAAAAAACTGTTAAGAGACATTACCAGACACTTACACACTCACGGTAGGTACAGTATTAGTTCCATTGCTTTGCACCTATACTTCTAAACAATAGAACTATACACAAGCAGCCATTATGATAAGACTAGTCATTGTTAACCAGTAATGGCTGCTTACCTGGCTCATAACGCAGGTAACGTTCAAATCACTGGACCAAAACTAACAGACCTGTGACTACATTTCACCTTTCCCTCGTGGATAATAACTCTGCCTCTAATATACACACAGTCAAATCTGAATTATGCTTTATTACAGCCGCGTTATCAGTCTACAGCTACAACCGCAGCCGAACAAATCAACTTACGTCAGACCGGATCAGAAAAACACTTGAGCTGAAGCGCCAATAAGCTACTGCTACACGCTAGCAAGCTAACTCGCTAACATGCTACCTTGTGGGTAAAGACGTATGAGATAAAAAAAAAAAAAAAAAAGACGCTTTTGATAAACGACTTTGAAGGTAAAACGTCAAACTGAAGTGCGTGTGTTATGGGTTGTGTTATTTCGCATTTGTTTAATGGTGTGACTGTCTGTCTTACCTGAGGGATGTCAAGCAGCGGAGGATGCTCTGTGTATTCAACTTCATCCGGGTACTGCGCCTCTCTGGGCTGTGATTGGCTGAGAGGAGGAGACTGGCAGCGTTTTGTATCCAATAGTGTGTCTCTCCTTCTAAATTAACTCCCTCCTCTGGTGATGGTGCAAACGTGACATCCTTCAAATCATACAACTTCAGATAGATAGATAGTTGAGATGAATAGATGAAAATAAATCCTATTTAGCTATCCTGGCAACTGTAATTTAACTGGAAATTTTCGAATATTCTATTGATTATCCAAATGAGATAAAGTGATGAATTGTCATGGTTAAGCCCGTTGATAAAAGGTTTCTCTCCCCCCAAAATGATGAAAAGTCTGAGCCACATCAACTTGAGGTTAAAATGTAGTGAACAATATAAGTCTGATAGTGTGTGTCACAGAAATAAGTGAAACCTCCTCAAGTAGAAATACTCTCAGTATTCAGTAACGGTATCCATGGTTTTCACAAATATACAGAGTATAAAACAAATTGAACAAAAAAAAAAAACAATCTAAAAAAAAAAAGGCAGTGAGAGGCTGATTTTAAAGGCAAAACAATACATGTATCAGGGCTAACAGTAGAATGGAAAAACTTAAAGAAAAAAACAAAAGAAAACACGTCCCTAAAAGAACTCACAAGAGGGAGCTCTGGCACTTAATTTGTCATTTTATGTTGGCTGTTTTTAATTTAATTTAGAAACTGAGAAACTGTTGCTCAGAACTGATGAGGTGCTGAAGTGTTTGAATTTCAGAAAAAAATAGTTTTTATCAAAGATGTATTGTTATTATTATTAATATTATTATTATTATTATCACTATCATTATCATGATCATTATCATTGTTCTTATTATTGTTGTTGTGGCGTCCTGTGATGTGTACTATCCAATAATTGATTGGTGGCTATTTCTTTATCTTGCTCAGGCTACATTTTTGACTTAATGTATTATTATTATTATTGTTATCATTATTATTATTACAAACCATAATTCGTTATTGGTTATTAATAGCAACAACAACGACAACAATAATAATAATAGTAGTAACAATAATAATAATTTAAAAATATATATCTTTTAAAAATATCAAAAAGGGCTTAAATTGAAATGGTAACAAAGCCATGACAAAGAAGGTCCTCCTCCTGGTCGTCATCAAAACAGACAATCATGTCACATATTTAAGTAGAGAGTAAAACCCAAAGTAAGGGAGGGACTGTGAAAGAAAACATCAACCACAAATCTATGAACGGCTGTAAAGTATTTAGATATTCATTTTCAAAGAATGCCATTGGTCCGTCTCGCCATGAGGGGCGGGGCTTGTTGACACAATGATATGATTAAGGAAGTGGCTCAGCTGACCTTTGGATCGTACTTGTGTTGTTATTCATTTGCATTTGGCGTTGCTAATTAACGTTACCGACGGAGGTCATGGAAAGCAAGGTAAGTGCAGGTGTGTGTGTGACGCAGATAACTGTACGTCTCGTGGTGAAATGCTAATTGGAGAGAGCAACTCTGCGGACGACATAAAACTTGTGTAACCCCCCCCCCCAGCTCAGAAGCTACAGCTGGTTAGCTGGTCAGTTCCAGATGGAAACAGTGTTAAAGTGAGCTGTTGTTGACTGAAACTATAGGTCCGCTGCTTCTCTTTAGTATATTTACCTTTATCACCACATGCAAATGAGTTCAGAGATGCGTGTAGAGGCATGAATGTAATTGTTAGTGAATTGCGAAATGTGTTTTTCGCTGCTCTGCCTTCTGCACTGTTATCTCATTCTGGAGACTTATCAGGTTTGCTGCATGTGTGGAGCAGCAGGCTGAGAGAGATGCACGAGACCTTTATCTCAGAGCCCCAGTCCGTCCGTGTGTGTGTGTGTGTGTGTGTGTGTGTGTGTGTGTGTGTGTGTGTGGTCCTGCCATATCTAACTGCTAAAAAAATAAAAAATAAAAAATAAAAATAAAAAATATATATATATATATATATAAAATTGTTTTTATCAGGATAATGTACTGTATAGTTGCCATTTGCCGTACAGTATATATGTGATTGACAGTACTGTTTTGCAGCTCTACCTCCTCTAAAACAAAATCCCAAATAAATCTATTTGGATTTCTGATATTAGAGTTTGTTCATATGTTCCTAAGAGGTTTAACAGGGACGTTGACCTCTGCCCCCCCCCCCCCCCCCCCCCAAACTTAAGCGACATCACTATGTGGGACAACATACTTCACTTTTTGGCTCACAAAAGGAATGTGCATTTTTTTCTTCAAGCTCATATTAACATGTAAAAGTCTCTTAAGATCTTCTTATGGTAGTAACAGTATGGTCAGAATTATACTTTCTATATTGTGTCACGTCACCAGATGTTCAAGCCCAGTTTGTCTCTAAAGCAATGGCTGCCACTTCAATACTTTTCTACATATTTGGTTTACTCAGGTCAGGAGAAAAAAAAAAAAGTGCAATTATTATTTGTACTCGAGGTCCATTGTCCCCCAATGAGGAAGTAAAGCCAAAGTCAACTAAACAGAAGGGTTAACGGAGGCTAACTGTGTATTTATTCTATGTATTTTTTGCAGATTGAAATCATGGCAACAGAGGGGGAGCCTGCGGACTTGGTGAAAGTTCTTCACCTTCTGGTGCTCTCCTTCTCCTGGGGTATGCAGGTCTGGGTCTCCTTCATAGCAGGTGGGAGCACAAACACAAGAGATGGCTGCAACTGGGCCTGTCACGATAATTGTGTTATCGACTCTTTGTAATATATATGAACATGAACTTGATCATTTTGATGTTATTGACTTATCGTAAAATGACAATATTATCATTTGTCTCAATTATTTCTGGGACAATATGTCGATCCAACAGAAGTAGTTATGGTGACAGGCCTAGCATTCCTGCTTCACGAGGGTATAACTTTGACCCCTGTCCCGGATCTCGATGTCTGTGCTGCAGGTTTTGCATTGGTGCGGCAGGTCAGTCGGCACACCTTTGGCCTGGTGCAGAGCAAGCTCTTCCCTCTGTACTTCTACTGTCTGCTGGGCAGCAGCGGGATCAGCCTGGCCGTGTACGCCGTGTACGCCGTGTACCACCCCATGGAGCTGCTGGACTGGCACGAGAGCGTGCGGGTCAGACACAACACATTTTTCAAAGTACTTTTTCAAAAAAAATCACATTTGCGTGGAAATCATCGGCATCTTCCCGTGTTGCAGATGGTCCTGTACTTCGTGGCGCTGGTCACGGCGGGCCTGAACGCCCAGTGGTTGGGCCCGGCGGCCACCGAGGTGATGTTCCAGATGAGGGAGGTGGAGACGGAGCACAGCCTCGGGGACCAGATCGGCCTGGGCAGCCAGAAGGAGGCTTACGCCAAACTCCGAGAGCAGGACCCCAAGTACAAGGCCTACAAGCGCACGTTTGGCCGCTACCACGGCTTGTCCCAGCTCTGCAACCTGATAGGGTTCATCTGCACCACAACTAACTTGATCTACATGGCTCTGAATTTATCCAGCATTTAGAGAGGGCTAGGTTTAATCCAGTGGACTTGAGTTAAAAACGCCCCAATTACACAGAGTTTTGCTTTCCTGCTGCAGCAGAGTCTTTATGAGGGAGAATGCCTTTGTTGCTATTTAGCATCCCCAAAATAAAAAACCCACCATTGCTGTTTTCTTTTATCCATCAGCACTTTTCATCCAGTCAATCAGTAACTCGGCTGTCTCAAAGGATGTATTTTTATGCATTTTTATATTTGTTTTTAGCGTTTGATTATATTTAGCATTTGATTATATTGCTCATGATCACATTTAAGAACAAAATGTATTTTTAAAAAAAAGACACTTACCTCAGGTGCTGTGTGGGCAGTTTACTCACATCCCCAGCAGTGGGCGATGTTTGGACGCAGGTGTATTCAGAGGAAAGTTCGTTGCTGATGTTGCAGCATAGATTAGTGCATTTGTATTTGTAAAATAGTGTGTTTCCTGATATTTCAATAAAAAATTAATGGTAATTTTATCAACTCATGTGATTATTCTTTCATGTGCATCCGCTTTTATTTTATTGAATTCTGTACCACATGTTTGACTTGTCATGATCATTCTGCTCTGAAACCAAACACTGTTTTTTATTTTTTTATTGTTGGATTGGTTTGGAAATAAATTGTCCTTCTAATCCTCATAGAGCCACGTCGATGAGAGAACCCAGGCCCAAACAGACTGCTCCTGGATTTAGAATAGAAAAGGTTTTAATTGAATTACCGGTGACGCACAGGTTTTTTTTTTTTTGAGAGGAACCAGCCTTGAAAGCAGAGAACACTGCTTCGCTGGCAAGCTACAGGATGAGAGAGGCACTGTCCCTGCTGCAGCTACAACATCAGTGCTAATGGATTATAATAGAGACATTTCAGTATAATAAGCATGGGACTGAAAGTTGAGGTTTTTTCCCAAATGCTTATTCATCTTGGCCTTTTTAAAGATGGTTTCTCTATCTGCCATCAGTAATAATTTAATGTGATTTATTTATCTTGCGTCTTTAACCGTCCGGAGAAGTTTCCTGCTGCAGTGGCATCAGGAAAGAAAGTAAACCCGGTTTGACCAAAGAACAAGTCTATCCACTCATCCATTTCATGGCATGGGGGAGATTTTAAAGTGAAATAGCTCGAGAAGTTTCAGGACTGTTGGTATCAAGAACTCCTTGACAATACAATGTGTAGAATATTTGGTCCGACCACAAAGAGAAATGCACACTGTTAAAGAATTCCCCTCAACTCTGCGTGTCCAAAGTAAAACACGAGGAAGTGGGGGAACAAAAGGAAGTGTTGAGTGACTCCTTCCTCCGTCATTCCTGACCCTCACAAGGAAACGAGCTTGTGTGTGCGATGAGTTGAGACGCGGTTCACAACCTGCAACACAACTGGTTTCAGGGACCACGGGTGGGAGCTCCCATGTAACACCGCAGAGCAGCCCTGCAGCGCTATGGTGTGCGTTACATTAATTATGAGTCAGGGAGCCCGAGGCAGCTTTATTCGATCATCTCTGATGTGGAAATGTAGACCTCATTTGCAATTGTTTGATCTCGGTGGTGGATGTGTACGCAGCATAACAAAAACACACTGGGCTGCTCAGTTTGATACAAACAATAACCATAACACACACACACACACACAGTTAATAACCACAGATGAATTACCACACTGTGAACTGTAACTGTGGCCTTGAAGAACCCAGACCCTGGGTTGAAGAACCCAGGGGAGGTTTTTCAATCGGGTACATTTATTTAGTCAAATAAGGCTGCTCAGTCAGGTTGTCCATCTGGCATCGTGTTACCTTGAATGATCCCAATGAGATACACACAATAAGTGATGTTGGATCCCTTTTCTATTTTTTCTAATAATATTCCTTTATAATATTCCTGGAAAATCTCTGCTGGGACTTCATAGCATCTTTTCTATGCTATGTTCATGTACTTAACCTCGTTAAAGGAACTCAGTGAGTCTATAAAAGGTCTCCAGGTCTCTTGGTATTGGTAGGAGCATTGATTGATTTGTTCAGTTTTTTGGTACACAGAAATGTGTGTAGATAATGTGTCTTTTGTATGATATCGTTTCATATGTGATGCGCTGTTTGTACATTTTGCAAACTTGTTTTTGATTGTAGATCTACAGATTTCTTTGTAAATATCTTCCTGCACGTGCATGGCTCCTGAAAAGTATACGAATAAACTATATGAATATAAATATATGTTATAATAGATTTGTATTATGTCAATCTTAAATAGCCTGGAGACAGTCTATACTAGATATTCTAAAACTATTCTTTCCTGTTTCACTAGAGTGTGTGCGTTAGCGTAGTGCGCGCGCACCGGGTGTACAGCCCTCTCCTCGCGCTGTGTACACTGACACAGCCCCATAGCTTCCAGCAGTCCGTGTTAACTCTGCCACAGACGGAGCTCCAGCCACAGTGTCAGCCACGCTACAGACATCCGGGAGCGGCTCCAAACCTCGAAAGAAAAAAAGAAAAGTATCCCGTTGAGGAAGGAGAGAGCAGGTCGGGTGCTGGTGCTGGTGCTGGTGCTGGAGCAGGAAAAAAGGGATATTTTCCAGGTGCTAGGTTTACTTTCGCAGGCTAACGTTACTCTACCCGGCATCTCACCGCCGCCGGACGGAAGACAGTATCTCTGAACCGAGCTGGACGTTTGCTTTTCTTCCAAAAGAAGGTAAGTTTGTTTAAGTTTCCGAGTTTCAGCGTCAGCGGGTTTTGTCCTGCCTCGCGAAAGCTTCCTTCATGTCCGAGTGCTAACGCGGCACCGTCACTCAGAGCTGTTACGCTTTATTTTGAATTTATGCTAACAGGTAGATGCTCGCGGAATGATACACAACGTATGGTTTCACTCCCCCCTTGGTTGGTTGTCGTTCGGCACGCTATTGCTGCGTAAAGGGGTAAAAAGTTAGACCGTTAACGTGAGTCATTTTCCTCTATGGTAATAAAACGAGTTTTCATCTCCCATCAGTGTTTGCGTTTCAGTCTTCCCAATAATGAAAGAAGTGACGTGACAGCTGCCCCACTAATTAATGCTGGTCCTGGTTTGCATCATCACCGGGCCCTGTTCACCAATAATGGCCTCTGTTTGATTTCACTGGAGATAACGCCGCTCACTCTCATCAGTGAGGATGTGTCTCACTGCTTGGAAGACGTGTGTCCCCTCGGAGACAAATGACACCAGGTGCTGATGTGGGGCCCCTTATCAAAGTCATCACTCAGTTGGGATCCGGTTCTTTTTGTTGTCCAGTGCAGAGGGAACTTGACACTCAACAGCGCACAGTAACAAGAAAACTCCATCATGTAAATCTTGTAATTTATGTGACATCTTTGTGAAAAGAGACTCGGATGTGTTCGCTGGCTGTGTAAACCTTCTTATTGGCCTGCAGACATCCTGAGCTCCACAGTAAACACTGAGGACATGTGACTGGGGTTATCTCAGGCTTAAGCTGAGCTGAAAGTTGGACTAAGAAATACTTTTTTTGAATGGGTGGATCCGTGCTCTGGGATCTTTAAGAGATCACAAGAATGTTCCCCCGGAGACCCTTATGTGACATGGGCATCATGTGATGTTTTCTTTTTTTAAAGGGCAAATACTTGAAACTTATGCCCCGATCACCGCACTCAACGTAAAGCCCAGGGAAGCACTTTTCCAGCGTAAAAGGGATGGTGTTCACGAGGCATGTACCTACCTGGTGAAGTAGAGTAGTGAAAGAGGATTGCGTTACTGTTACAACAGCGCTTCATTTCGACATCAGCCGGCACGCAAGTTTGCACAGGCTGTGTAGAAAAGTCTTCCAGTGGACTGGAGGTGTACGTCAGCTACAGAATCCCAATACTAACCCAATAAAGGTGATTTGGAAGGTTGGAAGGATTTTAATAATAACATGGTTAGTTTTTTTGGGGGGTGTTTCCTTACTCTTGCAGACATCAGTTGTTTTGGATACTTCTTTTCGGAAACACAACTGCGTACAAGAGCACAGTATACAAGTAAGGAACATGGACTCGTCCCTCTCATAGCCGTGCAATTACTGTGAGAGCAAACATTTACTCAGTCAATGATTTTGCGAGGCTTCTCCAATTTCTCAGTAGTGATGCTCCTCCTCCTCCTCCTCCTCCTCCTCCTCCTCCTCCCCCATAGCCCTTGATGGTAGGGTGATAGATATCCCCATCCTGCTCCGGAGACCTCCATCTGGCCAGTTAAAAGCCGAGTGAACTGACTGCTTTGACCGCTAATGGGTCTTGCTGGCAGCTGAGTCCCTAGTCCGGTCTCCACGGAGACGCTGTGCCACACCAATTGATCATCTCTGTGTGTTTTCGGAGAGATGGACATGGTGAGCCCTCCCCCCCCCCCCCCCCCCCCCACACACACACACACACACACACACACACACTCACACTTTGGACGGCCGACACCAGAAGACTTAGCGGCAGGTAACCTCACACCGGCCCCTCAGGAGAGATTAATCTGAGATGAATCCTCATAATAAAGCAGATGGTACGGCTTCCCGTAATTTGAAAGCATTCTAAACTTGATCTCACTCTCGTCTTCATTTTGATTGCAAACCCCTTTCAATCGAGCAGTTACTGGATCACACTGATCCCAGATGGATTCGTCTAACATCTGGCGAAGCTTTGATTCAATCGTAGATCAATAGCAACTTCTGTAACTTTGTAACTTCTGTAAATATATTCCAGTAAGACGAGCATCGGTTAATTCTACAGCAGTGCTCAGATAATAAGGCGATCGCAACATGCATTCGCATCCTCGTGCGCGTGCGAAGACATTGCTTCATAGCGCTAGTGGTGGAAAAACTCCGCACAGTACCTGTTTTTTGAGGCGCCAACCGTGAACCGCAATGTCTGGCCAAGGACCTCTGTTGCATGTGAAGACGGAAGTTTATTTTGAAAAGACTGTTTGCATATAACGAGCAGATTGGCGTGGTTGCTGGACTTCTGTAAGAAAACGCACAGAAATTAATTGATTCATCAATAAATAATCGTGTTTGACCTTGCGATAACGGCTACTTGCGAACACATTTAAGCTGATGTGATCAAACGGTTGCTTATTCACACATCTAGCAGTTACGGAGCAACACGATCATTCATTATGAGTCGTGCTTCTGTTCCACCTGGCGGATGTAAGGCCAATATTCTCTCTCTTCTAGCTCTGTTTTTGGTCTCCTCCGACCCTCCGAGGGAAGTATCTCGCTCATTAGCTGCCTGCTGTTTGGTGCTGAGCAGATGGTGTTCAGTTTTTAGAGCTTTTCCTGTAAAATACAGCAGGTTTAAAGAAACACAAACAAGTGTTTTATCCCCCCCCCCACACCAGAATGATGAGTGGAGCCACATCTTTCTCCACAGTGCTGTGTCAGCTGTTTCATTCACTAGTAAAGAGCTTACTAGTTGATTCAAACCAGTGTCGGCCGTGTGTCCGCCAAACGTTCATATTTGTAGACGGCCTCCTCCTTGTGCTCCGCCTCTCTAGATGGCATCGAATGACTCGCGCCTCCAGCAGCAGCCGTCCCAGAAGGACGCGGCCGACCAGAACTTTGACTACATGTTCAAGCTGCTGATCATCGGCAACAGCAGCGTGGGGAAGACGTCCTTCCTGTTCCGCTACGCGGACGACTCCTTCACCTCCGCCTTCGTCAGCACCGTGGGCATCGACTTCAAGGTCAAGACCGTGTTCCGCAATGACAAGAGGATCAAGCTGCAGATCTGGGTGAGTGGTTTTGAGGATAATATACGCTGCGTTTTTTTTATTTATGCTGTCAGTTATAGTTCGGAACCTGCAGGTCAGACTTTTAAAAAATTGGTAATCGGCCATAAAAATAGCAATCGTTGCATCTGCGGCTAATAACCCTTATTGATTGTAAAGTGCTTTGTCTCTCTCAGTCTAATACACCTGAGCACTTTGTGCATTTGAATTTGCTTTGTTGTTAAGACCATGGAGGCTCCAGTCTCTTCGAGATTTCATTGCTTTAGATGTGAATAAAGAAAAACAGGACATGATGAGGAAAATGAAAGTAAGCCCATGTGGAATCCTTGTTTATACCAAGATAGAGTCTCTTTAGGGCAGCTTGGAGGTAGAAGGCGAACCAGCAGACCTTCTTAAAGGCGAGGTCTAGAAGAATCTACAATCATGGGTTTGGCCCTTGTGCAAGCTTGGCATGTGAATTGTGCAAGTGTAGAAAGCATGACTTCCTCATGGTTTCATAGACATTGTCACTCGCTACCCTTATCTTGCATCTAATGGTGCAGAGTGTGCACTTTAATGTATAAAGAAGACTGGTCGAGTAAACGAGTGAAGTCGTCCGGTTTCCATCATTTTCATTGATGCTTCAAAGCCCAGCTGGAGGTCAAGGCTCAGAGACAATGAGCAACTGTCTCACCTCAGATCTGCAGGTGTTTTGCATCTCATTAAGTCTGTGATATGATTCCTTTGGCAACTTGGAGGAAGCGGAAAAGAAGCTGTGAACACATCGCACATTATCACCTTTAAAATGGTACGGCGAACTTATTGGAATACACTTAGCTTACACATCAAACCGATACGGAGCAACATTCACGTTAATCCTGAGGCAAATATCTGTCTCTTTAGCTGCTAAACGTTCCACTGTTTTCAACGGTAGCCAGGTTGATAACTGTGTATTTCTGCTGTTTGTTGGGCAGGTACAGCAGAGTGGTTTTTAAAGCTTTTCCAGCAAAGACATAAACAAACAATAAAACAAAACAGCTGAGCTGTGGGATGCCAAAAAAGTCCCATAAAGCTGAAGAGAGATGCAAATTGGTTACAACTGGTTACAATTGGATTTGTCACTAATAGTGACTCCATACACATCACACTCATTTGATCAGTTTGTGATGTAAACAATATTGATTATAGGTGCTTTAAATAGATGGTTTGTGAATTTAGATAATAATTTGGTCATGCAGTTTGTAGTTTCAATGAATTTGCACATGATGAAATATTTAGAGTTGCCATGTTTTCCTTTTGGTTTGGTTTCTTCTTCACTTAAACGGATACAAATACAGTCATTGCAGGCAGTGTGAAATTGAAACATTTAGTTGCAGTTAATCTTTGTGGTGGTTCCTCTTTGCTTGTTATGTTTTTCGTTTGTGTTTACTGTTGAGCACACGACATGCAAATTTGTCAATGCAACATTTCACATGTTTGTGGCTTACTTGACCGACGCTGCAGCAAGTCATGCAGCAGTTACTGTAACTCACAATTTAACCCCCCCCCCCCCCAAAAAA